AGAAAAATTCATGGTGTATCATTGTACAATAACATCAGGGCTGCTATTCAATAATGATACCACTCCTATAACATGGTCGTAACACAGCCAGTGCACAGAGTGAAACAATCGCCGCCCCATAGCGGCCAAAGGTAAACGCTTGAAAACATTCGTCCCGAACGTGTCACTCAAACTGCCGATGCAGATGCCCCTTCCCACATCAGGATAATACCACTGCCACAATGCAGCACCTATTTTTAAAGTGGCGCGCGCAGCTCCGACGGGATCCAGGCCAAATGCAATCCAACAGGCCGCCGGAAGTCGCCGTCGAACAAAAACATTAGAAAATTTCTATGATTTGCATGTTGGTTGGTGGACAAATTTAGATGTTTAAGCTGAATATGCACAAATGTGTCAAAGACAATGTTCGAGAATTAGTATATGGCAATCATCCCAAAAATTCATGATAAAATACCCGTGAACTTAGTTAGCTAAACAGCCGTAGATGATCTGAAAGTACGTAAATGCCGGCCGCACTATTTCGTATCACATATTTATCAAATTCTCACTAAATAATGGTTCATTTTTTATATCTTTGCAGCTTTTATAAGTACACACCAGATTACCATAGGACAGGAGTAACGGGCCTCTGCTGCTAAAACTTATAGTAAAACAAGCCGTAAGAAAGTCTACGGAAAATCAGCTTTGTGCCAGTGGTTTAGATCTGCAGCCCAGAGCGAGAGCGCCATCTGTCGCTGGGTTTGCGTTTCACTTTGGTAGTCTAAAGCTTCGAATGGACTAGTCTAGTACACTATAGCCCGCGTACAGTTCCTGCATCATGCGCCTGCGGCAACTGCTACGGCGGGCTATAGTTACTAGAGGCTACGACATGAAGAGCTAATTTGCGGTTTACCTATCAATAGTACATAAAAGAATAAGTACAAACGTGCAATGTTAAAAATAATCTCATAATTCATAAGCATAATTCATAATCAAATAAATCATTTTTGCCATGACTATTATGTTGCCGCTTGAAAGTTCGACGGGAAGGCTACCGTTTAAGTTTAACTTAAGCTATTTTTGCGTGTATGTTTTCCAATAATGTGCGCCATAAAGCCGCACAATGCGCATCAAACGCTAAATTTCTTCCAGTACTAGACTAGCAAATAACTTCGTGCTCATGCATAATCATACTACACCTCTATGGCAAAATAACTCTAGTTACCTCCCATTTGACTGCGCGTTCCAACAAGCAACAGAGCCTTGCGAAATCAGGGTAATCAGCGCCAACGCTAAATTGTGTCAAACAACATAACAAAGCGAAGTGGCTGACGGACGCCTCACATGTTTTATCTTTTGCTGCGCCCGCACCGCTGGTACCGCGGCACGCTGCACGGTGTTGCTTGGGAGTTGCTAGGGCAAACGGGTCACACAACATCGGAGCTATTTTCAAAATCGCAGTGGCTGGAGGTACGCCAAGCCGTCGGGTCGTTTCACACCCCTTTTTTGCGTTAGCGGTTAGGGTTAGCGGTTAGCGATTAGGTTAGGGTTAGGTTAGGGTTATGGTTAGGGTTTAGGTTTTAGGGTTAGCGGTTAGGTTCTTGCTCATCTAAACTTGCTCAAAATCGTGAATTTAATTTTCCAACGGCGTTGATTCCAAATGCTGGCGCCACCGCCGCCCATCTTTGTCTCGTTAAGTATGCGAAAGCCAGATGACTGGCGGCTACCCGTAGCCTCGAGACATAAGATACGGCTGGCGTACCGTAGCCACGGCCTTCAAAATACCTTTTATAGACAACGGCCCGCAGATGAAATGGAGGAAAACTAGAGTTTATTTTTGCCATAAGGTAGTTATATTATGCATGACACGACAGTATTATGCTAGTCTAGTACTGAAAGAAAATTAGCGTCTTGGATGCGCATTGTGCGCCTTTAATGATATATGGACCAAGCGAAGTTGGGTACTAACCCTCACACTCACAGACATGCGCGCTTAGCCGACAGGGCCGTCATCCCTAGTACGGTAATGCGCGATTCACCCTAGCGGCGAGTTATCGGAACTAAAACCATGCTTACAAGCTACCATTTGATAAAACATGAATTTTACATTTTACCCTACCACCCTAACCCTAACCCTCAACCCTAACCCTAATCTAACCCTAACCCTAACCCTCTACCCTAACCCTAACCCTAACCCCTAAACCCTAATCGCCGCATTGCGTAACATAGGGATGGACGCCTGTCGCCTAGCCGCCATTCTCACTCACAGGGATTACAGGCAGACCAACCTGGAAGCTGAAAACTGGAAGATACGGCCAACGAACCTTTTGCAGAAAAACTTGTTTGGGCTTTCCTTTGCGCTTTACTACGCCGTTCCAACTTGTCTTCTTGCTGATTGAATATTCTTTTGTGTTGATGTTTTCCTTTTTTGCTTATTCCTTGCCATCTACCTGAACAGACCATAGTTTATGAAAGTCAAATCACAAAAACGATATAGCGGTTTACATTTAAAATCGCCAAATGGGCTGCCTTTGCATTTTTGCGTTGCCCTATATTAATGTGAGCGGCGCTGTAATCGCTTGGCTCTGGGCGCCAGGGCCGAAAGTGCATCCCTCGACACAAGATCCCCTCGCAGAATCAGCGTTTCCTAGCATCTAGCATCTTACTCTTGTCTTAGGCTAAATAATACTTAAAATAATAATATAGTTAATCTACCTGGCATTTCTAAATATTACCTCCTTTATGAGACAGCGTATTGGTGCTAGTATCACTACCTTTTAACATTTCTATATCAGTGTTTGCCATTATACATAGTCACCCGTATCATAGTGTATTGCATTATTACATTATTATTGCATAGGGTAGTGCATTATTTATTTACCAGTCCTGCCGGTATAGCCTATACTATGGGCCTATATACTATAGACTAGTAGCAGATCTTCTCTTCTATATCTATGATACTGGCTATGCCTATAGCTATACGTCGGACGACTTACGTTATCACACGACATAGTGATAGTAGGGCACTCGGTTCAAGGATAGAGAACATGGGTCCCAATAAAACCAATGTCATTTACATCAATATAAATATAATATTATATCAATATAATAGGTTAGGGTTATGGTTAGGTTATTGTTAGGGTTAGAGGTTAGAATTAGTGCTTAGGGTTAGGCACATTGGTTTTATTGGGACCCATGTTCTCTATTCCTTGGGCGCGACTCTTATTGCATTGTTGGTTTACATTATTGTATCTACACACGACACAGAACAGTCCCTCAGCTCCAGTATTCAGTAACTTGAAGCCTCGTGTGAGTCGTGACCACAGCCACGTGGGGGCAGAGTTACAGTTAGTAATAGTAATTAGTATTACTATTAGTATTAGTAAAAACTGAGAATAATATCCTATGAACGCGGCACTGTTACACATTCACGAAAACTACCCGTTTATTACACTTGAACTTCCACTGTTGTGTCACTGTATATCAACTGGCTTTCACAAAAACTGATGTAGAACTAGCCGCTCCCGCCATTCGCCGTTGCAGGTGTGCTGCGTCGCTAATAGTAATACACTGTCACTGACTACTTTATATATACCGGTATCAGTGTATTAGCGACACAGCACACCCGCAACGACGAGTGGCAGGAACGGCTAGTTCTACATCTGTTTTTGTGAAAGCAAGTCCTATGGAGCAATCCTAGTTTGGGTCTCCGGCCCTGATTTTCGCAAATGTGGGGGTAGAGACTTCGGCAGGGCTCTTCTGCAAGGTCTTGCCTATAATTCACATCTACCAAGAAATATGTTCTTTGGCTTTTTTCACAGGAAGGAGGAACAAAACGGTGCTACAAACCTGTTTTTGCGTATTTTTCACGATTCCCAAGTTCACTTATTTAACGTCATATCACTTATATTCACAGTTACACTGCTACAACTCCTTATTCTATGTTGGCAGTTGCGCGCATCATTTATGCACTTATAAGTACTTACACTGCACGTATACTGCCACAAGGCGCTATGCCTTTTTGTAAATTTTACATTCATTGATTTAAAAAAAACGAGAGGTGTTTTGTGATAACTCATGTTAGATTCAGAATGCGATTGTTGCATGCCACTTGAATGCTTCTATTTATATTGTTTGAAACTATAATGTGTCCAACTGTGTTGTTTATGCCTGCCAACACATAACTTATGCAATACCAATGGTACGAGAGCCAATCTGTGTTTCAGTAAAAACAGCTAGCATGACCTAACATCACCTGTTTGAGGTAGCCCTGCAAAATCTGCAGTAACTTCTAAAACTTTTTTTATGTTTCCCATAAACAAGAGCTGCTAAAATGATCCCACATAGAAGAGTGTCCTGCCATGAACTTACAATTGAAATCTTAGGTTAGCTGTTACAGTTGGCATGTCATTAATGGATTCTTGTGTAATTATTATATTTATATTCGTTTATGAACCAGGTGGCGCCACTGGGTTTATTGGATCTGCCCTGCGCAAAACTTTACTAAATAAAGGTTACAATGTAATCGGTATTTCTCGGACACCAGGAAAGGGATCAATGATGTCATGGGTAACTTAAAAAATGTATTGCTTTCATTCAGCATATTATTGCATATAGTTTTATTGCAAACGTGATTGCTATGCCATCCTATAGTCGCTTCTTATGTTCAGTGACAGTCCAAAGAACTGTAGTTCATTGCATTCGGCTAAATTCCACCACCGACTGTTCCACTTATGAATGTTTTAGGATGATATAGTACAACAGGGATTGCCACCGTGCAAAGCAGTCATAAATCTCGCCGGGGAGAACTTGCTGAACCCAGCAAAGCGGTATTTATTTTTATATCACAAAACTACAATGATATAAACATAGAGACTATATTTATAGCAAAGATAGTATATCGTCTCAGACTTACATTAACCTATGGTTACATTGCAAAACAGTACACTAATTTATAAAAAATGTCGAATGATCCATACTCCATTTTATGGATTTAGCTCATGAAAATCGTATGAGTATCATATATGGTAATGTAGTGACTGAACAATCCTGCTTTTCCTGATTATTATGGTAACATTATATGGAACCAGAAGTTGACAAGTATATATTTATATATAAATCACTATGCCTTGTTAAAAAAATGGCAGATTTTTTTCTGGAGATTTAGTCATATTATGTAATTCAAGGTGGAATGCTGATTACGTAAAGAGCCTGTATGATAGCAGAATAGAAACAACACGAACACTTGCAACGGCAATAAACCAAGCAGAAGAGAAACCAAGTGTTTTCGTATGTGGCTCAGCTGTAGGTATGTCACATGCTTCTTCTCACAGCATAATTTTATCTTAAAAGCAAGCAAAAAATTCAAAATGTCGGATGTCTCAGTCAGATTATTCAATCATTTGAACTCATGCAGGGAATCGATCACATTGTTTGCATATGACCTGGCCCTCTTGATTTCTAATAGGTTACTATCCACCCAGCGTCACCACTAGGTACACCGAAGCTAGTCCTGGCGGCGAAGGAGATTTTATGGCAGAGCTTTGCAAAAATTGGGAAGCTGCTGGAAAATTACAGGATGAGTCTGGAGTAAGACATGTCATTATTAGAACAGGTATTAAAATTACTGCTGGTGCAACAACTGTGTTCCAAGTGTAAAAAAGTCAACAACACTAAATTTAAAGTTGATTAACAGCAACCCACCTATAATATGGATTGTTTGTAGCATCAGCACTCCATCATAACAGGATCTTGAGAATCGACTGTTATCGTCGAGTACTGACAGTTTTATAGATGCCCTCGTGATAGCAATAAAACTGACCAGGCCTTCTTTCCAGGTGTAGTGTTGGGAAGGAATGGAGGAATGATCCAAAGTGCATTCCTGCCGTTTTTCCTGGGACTCGGCGGAAGAGTGGCCTCGGGAGAACAGTTCCTGCCCTGGATTCACATCGACGACATCGTCGGCATATTTGTTCATGCCGTGGAGAACGATCACGCAAACGGCGTTTTCAATGGCGTTGCGCCGGAGTGCTGCACAAACGCGGAATTCACGCGAGCGTTCGCCTCCGCGATGAGACGACCCGCCTTCTTCCCCGTCCCCGAATTCCTGCTCAACTTCGTCTTCGGCGAAGAGCGGGCAAAAGTGATGACGCGCGGTCAGTGTGTGGTGCCGCAGCGCGTTCTGGAGACTGGTTACGTTTACAAGTTTGCCGATATCCGCTCGGCGTGTGACCAATGTGCTCATCTCGCATAGACGACTTTAGCGGGAATGTCAGTCGAGATTACCAATATGGATCGATTGTCGGTTTTGTAAACAGTTTCCACAAGAGTCACTTTTAAAAAAACGAATAGTGTATATGGCTGTAATATAGTGTAAAAATTTGAAGACTGAGATTGATATATTTATATTAAAGGGATCGTTTACTCTAGGTTCTAGGGTTATTTTTAGTTAATTTAGGTTAAAATTATGCTACATAAAAAGTTTCATGGTTCAATCACCATTAGAAATATTATTAAAATATGTTTTAAAACTAACGACTACAGTTTGATTACAATGACGGTGGCGCCACTCGAAGCGCACGATCTGATAAGTTGCGCAAAACGACTTTTCAGCCAAGGGCTACAGACCGAGGGTGTTTCTTATTTATTAATTTAAAAGCAAAAGGATTGTAATATCTTATAAACGACATATAGTTTCAGTTATATTATGGATAAATTTGTCCTAAAATGTACATCGTTCAGTTAAATAGCATTTAGGTATAAATATAATTGCACCTTTGTCATTAGCCCTCTGTCTGTAACGTGCAAAATAAATTGGCAAATGCGCAACTTTTTCAGGGTGGCAGCACGCACGGTCGCGGGTGTCAATGGCGCCGTTCAAATTTCGTAGCGTTGATGTATAATTAATTATAACAATTAAATTAGGTATCTGGTAACAAGTACGTGTGGGTATAGACGATTTGTTATACAGTAAGTACAGTTGTATGCAGTAAAATCCTAGAGTCTACTATCCCTTTAATGCTGCATTAGTGCAGTGAAGAAGTTTATTACCGGGTACGTGTTTATTTTTCAATTATCCTACATACATGTGTATGATGTTTTGGTGCATGAGAAATGCACAAAGCAGGTTAGCTAAATTTATTACTGATTGGATCATGTCCCAGTTATGAATTTTTGTGTGAAATCATAATTTATTATGAAATATGTGCTCAAGATTTTTTTTTATTGTTTTACAATCTATATGCACTTGATTATCATAACAAATATACAGTCGAATAAAAGCATAGCTGCTATTTATTTTAAACAGTTAATAAGATATTTCACTGACACTCCACAGCGCCAACAATGAGAAACAAGTGCTCTTATCACACACAGGTATAGCAGGGTACACACCTATTGAACATTCACATCGTCAACACACATCCACATGATTTCATATTCAAGGAAAATTGGAAGCAAGAGTTCATAGATCCACAGACAAGCACATCATTACTGATATTAACTGCAATAAGCAAACTGGTGTCTATTTTACTCATTGAAACTAACTCGTTTTGCAATGTGCAGCCATACAGGCGTGACTACACTGGTGCAAATGATATTAGGATTAGCCACAGCTGACACACTCTGCCCATGGGCAGTGTCGCGACTACGTCTAGTCACGAAATTATTGTCAATCAATATATACATGCATGTTCAAATTTTTAGATTATATAAAGACAAAAATTCAACACAAGTTACTTCATATATAATACAAATGTCAGTGTACTACGAAATCTGGACAACCGCCATACTCTCATTTCTTTACATATACGTATGCAGCTTGCCAATTAGAGGCCTCCAAAAATATACGGCCTTTTTTATACCACACCTCTTCAAACCAGAACTGTGCAACGCCTAAAATATCGCTATACAATCCCCTAAATGTAAATAATGGAGCAGCGAAAACAAGACATTATGACAGCGGTATGCCACCTTTCCCTTGAGACGACCGGTGCATCTCACCAGAGCATATAGTGACACGCCGGTTGCAACGGATCTAGGAATAGATGAGCAGCTGCCTACCAAGCTCCTAACGAGAATGACGGATATTGCGAGCGAGTCGCTCGTTGGCACTTACGGCCAAAGTGATTCTAATCACTTGCAGAGGGTGGAGTCATCGTAAACATTCGATTTCGAGCATAATTATCTCACGTAAGCGTGCAATTTTGCATGTTTAAATATATATCATGGTGTTCAGGGTGAACTCACATCACACCAACCTTGCCATTTTATACAACTTTTTATATACCTATGAATATTCAGATAGCTTGCTCAAGGTTGATTTATTATCTAAAGATGTGTCCTGGCATTATGAACATTTTCTAAACAAGACTATAGCATGGTGAAACTAAATATCACTGTCCGAGGTATGCTCATTTAATACTTCTTCATACTACTGCAGGCCTCTTATCAGTAAGGTTATTACCAATTATTTTTTCTTTGCTTTTTGTTGGTCTGTGATAGTTGATTTGTTTTGAAGTACTATTCTAACGTATTTTTAATGGCGCTATAACACGTGTAGGCTTTTACGTAGTTTTTTGCTACGTATTTACACAGGCACCAGCTAAAAACATACTGACAGTAACCAATGAGTGAAAGCAATGACTGCTATTCATGGGAACACTTTGAAATTTTTTGCACTTCAATTAGAGCCGTGATTGGATTATGACATGACATGACATGTCCATGACAAGCCAGGTGACTGGCTTAATATCCCCCAAGCAGAAATTACTATGATACACATGCTGCCATTGCCCAGTATGTACATGACATTTTGACAGCGTCTTCTGCATGGGAAAGAAACAAATCGGCCTCCACTCAAGAGCGGCGACGGCCTCCGTGATGCAGACGTTATGTCCGCCATGCCACCACCTGCCAGTGAACAACCATTCAATCACCAACTTGCAACACCATTTATCAACATGCGACTGTATAGTGTCTCGTAACAACAGGTCGTCAAGTACGTAAAACCTCAATGGGACACAACGTAGGGTCAGCTGAGGACGCGTCATGCAGGCTGCACACCCACAATGTGCGATCAACCTCTCGCGCTGACAGGATGTAATAGTAAAGACAAATTAATGCATTTCTCACACCGGAAGTTGCTCTTCGGAAGCCAGCAGGTGTCGTTACTGCCACACACTGGTCGGAAAGTTGTTAACCTCGCTTTGTTCATTTATCTCGACGCCTCCATGGCTGTAGTTCAATCTGAGGCGCATGCGCAGGAGTTGCTGTGGAGACAAAAACCGCCCATGAGTGTTCCTCACGCGATAACAAAATATTCGTTTGATGCAACAGTACTGGCAACATTCTATCTTTCCATGGAGCCAGAGCAATACCTCTGCAATTTCAAGCAAAATCCATCATCACGTTGACTGATTCCATCCATCAGTAGCGTTAATACAGCCTAACACTGTTTAGACTGCCTGCTTTTCTCCCCACCGACCCTTTCCCAAGTTACCTAATTGTTCTCCCACGTACCTTTGTAGGGTTGTTGATTCTCATAATTTGAGTGATCTGTCCCGAACTGTTAGGTGGAATCGTACTCCCTGAAGGTGACATCATCTGAAGCTGGAATGTCTGCAGAAAACAAACAGTAGAATTTCGTAAATTCAGGCCTTTAGCATGACATTGTTTGCACGTTGTACCATTTAGAGCAGTGGTGAGAGGTGGAACAGTGCAGGGTATGTATGATCAGAAATTTAAACCAATTAGATGGAATAATGATGCTGTGTATAAGGAAATAAACTGTGCAATCGATGTGTAACCTGTGTAAATGATGAAATGATAAAATCCCGTGCTTTGCACTAAGCCAATTTTTAACTCGTTTAGGCTGAAAACATTCAAAAGAAATATACTAAAATAATCTGAAAGATATTGATAAGGCATTTGTACAAAGATAATATTGCCGGGCATTGCATTCAGGCAACCATATATCCAATGACACAATGCATCTTAAGCATTCATCCAGTGACCGGAGCAGGCCTGGTATAGAATGCTTCCGATTGCACACTGCCCTTGCTATTACCTTTGGAACGGCAGCCTGGAACATAAAGTTGTCCATCGACTGTGATGAAGAGTTGTTAGCAGCTAGAGATATGGTTAACTGGTCACCATTCCGCTCAAAGCTGAAGTCAACTTTCAAGCCATTCTTCTCGAATACGGTGATTAATGGTATGTCTGAAACAAAAGAATCATTTTGCAATCGATTGCAAAAGACAAGCGATTTATAAATGACAATAGATAACATTTTGTGGAACACTATGGTGTAATGAAACCGAATATTCAACACGAAATATATTAAAAATTTACTCCGTTTTGGATTTAAGATTTGTGTCCCTAAGATTCCTAAATCCAAAAATGTGTAAACATGGGCCATTGATATCGTAAAATATCATGAACAAGAAACCGTTCATCTTCATAGGGTCTAACTATAAGCAACTCTGCATATTTCATGGTAACAGCTGTTTTTTAAGTCAACTGAACAAGCTTTTTAATAAACAAAACAAGAGAGAAAAAACTCTGGAATAGCATGGTGGAAAAGGGTCAATGACACCTAGATCTCTTTCTCTACCAGCATACAAGTGAAAGAGCCATGTTAACCTATCACAAGGTGTGGAAATTCTACAATAGCGACAAAACCTTGTACTTACCTGACTTTAGAAGAGCTGGAGCAATGATGGGCTGTGATGTAAAAAGACTATCCAGGACGTTATTTACTGGCGCAGGTGCTATAGGTGGCTGCGTGCCTATTGATAGAATACAATCGCATCTATAAGCTCCACTAGCTTGCTCAATTTCTGGCGTGGTTTGCGTAAAATGATTCAACCACCGTAACAGGAACAAGGCATTAGATCGTCCTATCCATTTCTGATGTAGATAGATGAGTTAGCAGACGAGAATGCCAAACACTCACCTAATGACGTTGGCATGGTGCTAGTGTCTGTAGGTAAGCCTAGGTCGAGCAGATCTAGGAGGTTATTTTCCGGAGGTCTGCTGGGCTGGGGTGCTGGTGCTGATAGGCCACCTAGGATGTCCAACAGCCCTGAACTCTGAAATAAACACATAAACACGTGTGTGAGATTCTTCCCACTCGCCCACACAGACCAAATGACAGGTAGATACTACTACAGGTACTTATCAAGCAGTCACCGTTATCGTAGATTGCCCATGTTTGCCTACCGAAATCACACCAGTCCCCATATCTACCCGTGTAAACAATATACAAGATGTAATAGGCTTTACCGAAACTCCTAGTTACTAGTCACACCCGTAACTCTGAACGTTCTACAGAAACACAGCGACGACCTTCAGTCCACCAGCATAGCTCGTTAATCGTGAAATACCATCACGTTAGCTAATTGGTGAGCATGACCGATTCTGCTTAGCACGAATCAAATCTCAGCGAGTTCCACGACAATGAACTTACAGACTGCTCCTGCTGCTGCTGTTGCTGTTGAGCTGGCTTTGCCTTGCTAACAGGCATGTCATCGGGCATCAGGTCCTCATCTGATCCGTTCGAGACACCGTTGTGTAAACTTGCAGAGCTCATGTTCTTCTTAATATCGCAGAGTGGCATGCGCTCCAGCACTCCAGCCCTACAACGTAGAATGCAGCCGTGATTTCAACTGGTCTCTACATAATCGAAGGTGCCATCTATCAAATGATTCAGCACATGCCAATATTGCTGGGTAAAGTAAAACCCGCGTATAAGGGTCACTCAAGGGAAATGCCAAGTCTTCTTACTAAACTGCCATCTGTTCACTGATGTAACTGATGTGTTCACTAACATATTTGATTGTATCGATTTCCATCTATGGTACAACCCTCTCGCGTCATCCTCTACTTTCTGCGATAGCAAGACGCTCAGCCGAACGATACAAACACACGCAATCCTTCCATGAAGAAGAACTCATGTAGCATGCGTTTGCTGTGTAGGTATAGGCTACGAGGAATTGGTTGCACCTCATTGTGTCGTATCTCCCGAACAGCGCATGGTACTCGACGGCCCGCTGCTGCAGCTCCATGTTCACGTGGCTCCCATATATCGACACGACGCTCTTAACTCGCCTGCATGCAGAATCAAAGGTTTCACTATGCCAGCAGCAACACAGTTCACTCATAAACCCATGTACGCAACAACAAATACAACACAGCATCATTTGCTCAGCTACGAACGCCAACTTCATGATTAGATACGCACGTAAGCATTACTGCAAGTGTGGGTAACTATGCATGCGTTGACGTGTGTTACTAGCTAGGAAACATGCAAACGTTAATAATAATTACAGCGACACTAATTGCGGCGATAACAACGGTTCGATTAACCAATGTAAACAGTCATGCTGACACTCGTTTTTTTTTCATTTAGGGAAGACATGTTCAGTTGCATGGCATTATTATTCCAAATCTCACAAACAACCCTCGATCACATTTGCTATTCCATCACCCGCGACCAGCGAGAAAGAAGATGCTCACGGCTCGGAATTCGGGAAGCGTGTGCTGAGCTTCATCAGCGCATTAATGGCATACTCCTTGGTGACAATATCTGACAGGTTACTCGCAAGGACTCGCTCCAACACGTTGACTACTTCATCTTCTGATACCTAGAAATGCGCAGAAATATACGATAAGTGTTAGATGGCCCACCCCCACACAGTAGCTTCATTTCCATCACATTATCAGGTATGTATGTTATATACATATATATATATATATATATATATCATTAACACTACCCTACCTTTAGAGGATCATCTGCTTCAGCATCTGGTTGCAGGAGAAGGTCTCCGTACTCTCCTATCGTCCAAGCTGCGACCTGCGGAGAGATATCAGTGCTACATCCGGGGCTCAATGCCAGGGAAACTGCCCGGTCTCAAATGACCACCACAAGAACTTGTGTCCGATTTTCACTTCAAATATTCATGTGAAGCAAACAAAAAATGCAGTCGCCAGTTAGCGTAATTCCTGTTCACACAAGTAGATAGGGAGTACTGCTAATAGAAAAGGTTCCATTTGCAACACACCTTGCAAGAACACAGTATCTTGGGAACAAACCTGAATGAGACAATGTGTCAAATAGATACCTGGACCGACTCTACGAGGAACAAATCCACAACACTACCGCATCTAGATTAGACTAGCTTAGTGCATAATACGATAAAGAAGCGAGGTAATCGATGAAGCTAACCTGAACGAGCGGTTGCTGGGAGATGTCTTCAGAGATGGCACGGAACAGCTGTTTCACCATGTAGGCGTGCAGCTCGTTGGAAGAAGGGATAAGATGCACAAGGTTGGAAACGACATCGCTCTGTACGTAGTTCCCAGCCTGAAAATCACAATGCACATGCGCACACGGTTTATGAATGACAGCAAGGATAGCGAGCTCGGCCTCAAATGATTGCTTAATTTGAGTAACTTGAAAAGCAGTGATCAAAATTAACATCTGTAGAAATTAACATTAGAGTCTGAAGTCAAAGGCTGGACATGTTACTGTCAGACTTCATGATTTGACATCTGAAATTGTACATGCGATTCTATGAAAGTTCTAGTAGACAAAACCAAAAAATCCCAAAGTCCAATAACTTCGACCTCATATCAACTATATGATATACATCAACTACAATACTGTTTCCCATCTTAAAATTTAATTTTGCTGCAATGTACAGCAGATAACACGATAATTATGACGTTGTGACGGGTTACTTAGACTTGTTTCCAGCCGAGGGTTCCTCTTTTTTAGGAAGGGAGTAAAGTGGACTCTCAAGTTAACTTCTATCCTGTCTTTAGTGATTAGTCAGTTATTAGACCATGCCCACACAGATTCATCTCACACTGGTTAAGTCCATGTGTATGCCTATACCAACTATGAGCTTCGCCTACCTACTGACCCACATCTGAGATAAACAACATCAGTGCTCATAAGAGAAACTGAGATCCTTTATGGGTGGCGTGAATACAGGCTCAATTGTCTTAGTTCTTGACGAAAATAAATGTTTACCCCTAATTGATGATTATTTACGTACTGAACATTCATCGCAGACAGTTTAAGGTAATTAGTTTGGTGCATGACTTTGTGCAACACTTTCGGCTATCATGAAGTCACTTACAGTTGTTAGCACTTTCATCATGGTATCCATGTGCCACTTTCTCCCTGGAGCATATCTGAAACTCAATGCTGAATGATCAGATGTGATAACATTCCAAATACTCAAACGTGGCATACCCTTTCATCATTCATGTCAGCAGAACAACAGATATACATGTATGATACAGTCACAGCAGTTTTTAAGCATAACCGTGTGCTTAAAGTTATACATTTGCATATGATGGGTGGAACAGCTGTTTGCTTACACAGACATGCAATACATGAGCAAACTGGCAAATTCTAGAGTATAGGATGATAACATATTTGCTTGAATACGAAAACATTTTATCAACACTATAAATAAACATCTATGACCATTCAATTCTTTACAACTTGCATTATCGTTTTGAAATGCCATTTTCTAACCATTTCTAAACGAAGCATAAATGAATAACCAAAGTGCAATTCATATTTCAATACCATTACCATAATATCAAATCAAACAAATCAAGTCAACGTCATGTCGACTACAGAATGGGCAAAAAAGTGAGCTTTTGCTTACCTCTCCGCTGCGCTAAACATCTTCGAAGCACAGATCGGTTTAAACTCTGGATCAGTCTTCTCGAGAAATGCCAAAAGTTCCTTCATCATTGTTCTCACGTTGTTCGTGTTGATGAGAACAAAGCACAACTCCATGGCACGCCTGAATCGTTGTGTAATCATGTGATTAATAACCGAGATAAAAACTCTGAATATCTCTAAACATAAGCAACTTGTCTAATATTCCCAACTAGTAAAAATTGAAATGATGTCTTAATATTAAATTTCATGTTCACGGATGCATTATTCCAACAAATTGCTTAAACCAATTATATTTAACTCAGAAACACTGCATAGCATAATTCATGTGTAATTATAAATGCATGATTGTAAAATAATTAATTTAATAAATTGTTAGTAAACAAAATAAATAATAACAAATTAAAAACTAAAAGTAATGTAATAATAATTTAGCAATTAACATTAATATAAAATAAAAATAAATTATTATTAGCAATTAAAAATAAATCATTTTTTAATAATCTTAGCATCGTGACACTAGATTCCTGTCGTGGAGGAGTAAGAATATCTTGATAGCAAACCTTCTGATGGAGACGTCTGGATCTTTCAGACACTCGACGATCGTGCTTCGATGCCGCTGAACAGCCTGTGTATCCGCGTGAACCGTACGCAGCAGCGTGTTCAGTGCCACATAGCGGATGTTCTTGTCAGTGTTCAGCAGGAACCGCCCAAGGATGTTCACTGCAAGCACCTGCGAGCGCAAGCACGAACAATACGTGGCGGCGAGTTACAAATGAGGACAATGGGAACTAGCAGGAATGACCTTCTTAGAAACCATGGTTCCTCATTCATCCAGTCATATCTGTTCAATAACCGTTTCACCTAGCCATTTACTAAAATATTGCAGTTTTCGTGTTTTTTGTTTCCTTTACTATAAGAAATAGCAGCCCCTGCATCATTCCGGGACTAGTGCCATTTAAGCATGACTGCCTTATTTTTGTAGATTTTATTACAGGTTATATAGCAGAAATGAAAACTCAAAGTTCAAAATCATGACTGGCTAGATTTTTAGAATTGTTTCAAGACTGATTCCCTTCCATGCTGAGATTACTTTCTATATTCACCCAACCTTGTTGTCAGCGACTGTTTTCATGCCGCTATTTGCCGCTTTTTTAAAGCACTTAAGAAGTGCAAACAGGTGTCATAATAGAGAATAGATGCTGCAATGTTAGAAAAAACGTTGCTCTGAGATACAGTGGTTTTTTCGCACTTACCCTCAGACCACTCTCCGACTTGATGTCCATGATTGTGAGTACTGTCTCATACAAAATGGCATTGCCAACGTTTTTACTAGTCTCTGTATTTGTAGCAACCTAGAATTACAGAGGGGTCTGTGAATTTACTGTGAAACAGTTACACACAAACTATTTCATTTTAATTCTCCAGCACCGAGTAAATTTATACACACATTTTCTATATCAGTTCCGCTAAATAAAGGTCTGCTTAAAAACAATTACAGCGTAGGTTTACGCAGGGTTATAGAAGACTTAATGCAGGATTAAGCACAATTATACGTACCTGCGCAAGGATGTCATTCATCGATTCACTGGCTTCACTATCATTTTTACCCAAAATCCTCAGCAGCCTCAGAATTTTCACCTGAAAAAACATTTCAGACAGTTTTAATGATACGTGAGAAAATTTCATTCGTGAAAAATTTCTGATAATTCCAACGGCAACTGGGAAATTGTATGCAAGAAAAAAAACCCAGACAATTTACAACTGTGAGTACAGTATTTTCGTGTGTAAAACATTTCGCAGACGATTACAACCGCAAGCAGCATTAATGACCGGATTTTTCGCAAAGACTCGCATGTCTCAATGAGCTGCACTTCAAATTGCTGCTACATTCCCCCCCTTTCAAAGTCAGAGCGAGCACGCAATCGACAACACGCAACGTCAACGTCGCGCTCGCAGCGTGTGGTGGTCGGCGAGACTACTGGCAGGGCCTGAAATTAGCACCGGCCCACCGGCATATACCGGCGAATTATTTGGAGGGCCAGTGACATTGCCAAAATACCGGCCCTCCGAGCCGGTGGTGTCGGCCGTGTTAGCGAGTACCTACATTTTTATTTATAGCTTTAATGAGCAAATAGCCTACATTAATATTATACCTAAAGGATATCACGCCATAATATATCAACATTTTACAAATTTGAAATCGAGAATGCAGGCGTGAAACATGACATTGACAAAACCACTTCGGACAGCATTCACGATCTGCATTATAGTCTGTTTAACAGCTACTACGCGATGCCGCACACTACAACATTTTTCGGACAAGCAAGAGTCAGTGAAACAGCCTTAACTTTATTTTAGAAAAAAAACACATTTGCGGGCTGGTAAAAAAACTGGAAAAATCTGAATTTCATGCCCTGACTGGGCAACTTCACAGCTTAGTTCCCTCACCTGCAGAAAAGGGTCGCTGACTCCCGACACATCATGCTCCGGCGAGTATCCCGCCATGATCAGATTCTTCAGGATTCGCACCAAGTTCGGAACCAACTAGGAAACAACAACAAAAGGTGTGGGAAGCCAGTGACGATGAGTACCGGTTGTGCAAAATTCAGTCGCCTGACCACAGCGACAATTGGTAAAATTCTTAATTTACTTGAGCCAAATATAAAATCGATGTTGCTGATTACACTGAAATAAAAGTTTAGGTATGTAGCTAACCCTTTTTTGTGTAAAAACGATTAATTTGCTAAATTTCTAAAGCACAGCATTAATTATTTTTATAGGGTCACTGAAATCTCTCATGATACAGAATAAACAAGCGTATTCTTCCACCAACACCGACCAGCGGGACCAAAGATAAAATCCACCATAAAAAAAAAGAAATTTGAAGACCACTGTACTACAAACCCTGGGGTGGGAGTATCCTAATTTTTTTAAGGGAAGCCGTTCAAAATTTATGGTCACCAGGAATATCTTGGGTGAGGGTGGGTCAACAACACAAAAAAGCCGATCACTTTGTTTTCCAGACATTGTGTAATGCCCTGTCATTCAACTTACCTTTTTGAAGTGAGCCAGGGTGTCTGGACTCAATTCACACATGATTGTTATGAGAACCACTGCAGTCATTAGCACACCTGTGAATCAAGTGATTACCTGATTAGAGGCATGATCGTTTGGAAGACTCCACTTAACGCAAGTTGTCACTCACCTGCACCGCATAGGTTAGCTTTAGCATTTAGGGACTATCGTCGTATCGTTAGAAAAACATCTTGAGAAAAACATGTCAGGCGATCTGGCAATTAGTCTCTAATTGCAAATTTGAGTCAATTACACTTATCTCAAGCGGCCACATTACGCAGATAAACTATCAGTTCCGATTCAATTCATCAAGCTGTTAAAACACAGTATGACTGTGTTGGGATTCCAAAAGTAAACTCATTGGCGATTGGGGAGGGGGGATGTATAGGATGTCGCAAATAAACTTAAGATTTTAAGGCAAGTCAGACCCGACATGCGTCAACCTGAAGGAGAACCCTAGACTGATAGTACACAACTACCTGCAGAATAAGTATTAGCTACATATGGCTCATGAACTGCATAGTAATTAAATAGCACAACACGCAAAGAATATTAACAGGAGTAATATGATGTACAAGGAAGTATGGCTTAATAAAAGACAGAAAGTAACAAATAACCTCGCACAAGTTTACCTAGGGTTTCTTAACCGTGACTCAATAAAGTCTACCACAATGGCTGCGCTGTACATTAGACTCGCTCCATGACATATTGTTTGCATAGGCACACGTAAATGGAACCAGCTCTGCCAGCCACTATTCAGTCTGCGTGCATGTACTTTCATCAATACAATACTATTACTTTCTAAAAGTACCAGACTAGTCTAAACATCGCAATTACCTCACTCATTCAATTCAATTCAAACTGAAAATTCAACATTCAAATCGATATCCTAATAAAAATATTAGGCACAAGCACAACGAGATGTCATGGGTCCGAGAAAATACAGAACTATTCAGTGTTGAGGTACTCTATCCAGAGTTACATTCAATGAACATTAAGTAAGCTTAAGTACTCCCTATCAAAATCTGATTAGTTTTTTCAAAATCTTGCAACTTCGTGCAACAACGCGATCGCATCTCCTACCGTGGTTTTTCTCAGTCAGCAGGGACCTTGTGGCAGGAATGAAGATTTCCATGAGATCGGGAACTTTCCGGATGATGTGGAACGCGCAGAGAGCCGCCTGAAACGTACACATCGCAGCATTAGCATTACGCGGGTTTACGCGGGGCGCAGCGCTATCCGCCACCTTACACACAATTCAACCGTGTCGCAGTCATCTCAGTGGTTTTTTCTAAATGCAATGCATGCTGCATTTTCTGAGGCAAACGCTGTACCATTGATATTCTCGTATCGCATGGCAAAGGAAATGTTTCAACCCACATTGCTTCCTTATAGCTCTGCATAGCAGAGCAAGACTGAATGGCAGCACGATCGACGTAACACCATAAATTCTGACATGAGAAGATGCTAATAGTGTGTACTTACATCAAGTGTGCACACTTATTAAATGCAGGTAATACTCAAACACACTTGGCACGCAAATCTAGATGACGCTATCAGAGAAACTAACAACATGGTTACACCTCGTGGCAACACCAAAGGCAATGACAAAAAACTGGCCGGGGACTGACATTGATCGTATGATTGACACGTTGCCGGAACTCGCCTTTTTCTTGATGTATGCGTTGGATGACTTGAGCAACTTCTCCACCTCCCCAGCAAGGTCTCGACTCATCTCCGGCGAACAGATGCTTCCCAGAGTGCACAGCGCCAGCCCGACGACAAACTGTGTCTGATGGTTCATATCACTGTTGGAGAAATGTCAATACTGTCAAACCTGTGTTAGAACTTAGTTGTCACTCCTAATCCTATATAACAAACACAGGTCTGTCTATACAGAACAATTCTGGCAGTTTTGCACTCTCTCTATTATTACATTTTCCTTCTCTTATTACATTATCTATAGAGCAGACATGTTTATAAATTACACTTTTGGCAGTTCCTGTAAAAATTAGAATCTCTCAAATACATCGAAAAATCAATATGTGTAGACAAATTAGGTCTCCAATGTTAGCAGCCGTATTTACTAACTACTCCAGCATAAAAATTAGAAGGGGTCTGTGCTGTTATAAGCAATGTAATATCAAACAAACCCTATCTCGGCAAGTAGATAAAGGTAACAGTGTAGCGACAGGGTACAGGCCGTTGGCATCTTGTGAGATGCGAGAATCATTACTATTGATATGTAACCGTAACGTATTCAGTTTGACATGGAAATCGATGCACATTTTGGTGAAAATATTGTGCACGTGTTCTAAGACATGTTAGCCTTACTATAAAGTGTAAACACAGTGGTGTTACGCAAAGGAGTACCCGTAACTGTAAGTATCGTAAAAGTCGAGAATAGGATATAGAGTATGAGAATGGCTGGTAAAACCTGAAAAATTGTTGTTTTAAGTTTAAATGACCCTAATACATACATTACTGACTGTATTACATTAGGCACCGTCGTATTCAATGTTCACGCTAACCAACAAGTGCGCTCTGCAATTTCATACAACCGATCTCAAGATCACTTCTCCCGGCTGCATCGTCATTTACTGTAGCTGTCGCAACCCATCCCATCTCAATCACGCATCTGCACAAAATGCCGGTTCAAGAGGACTCCATCACAATAGCAACCGAACTACGCCACTTTGACCTTTGAACATGCACACGCCCACTAGATTTCACGAAAGGAGAATTCATTTCCTGTTCGTGTATGGCCCATCATTACTAAGGAATTACACAAAATTAAAATTCGCTAATTGACTGGCAGACCAGCCATTACAATGTGCATTCCCGCAGGGAATAATGACGAGATGAATAACTGCCTCAAGATGCAAGCTGAAATGATAATTTTTAAGGAACTCTATATGCATCTGGTACAATCGCTTCAACAACTTTCGCTATATACACCATAGACATAGTAGCACATGAAACACAAATCCTTGCTAATGCCTAATGGCAAACTGTAACCGATTTCAAAAGTAGTATCTAGAAGGTGTTCTAGATGAACTAGCTTAAATGGTGCCTGTTGTACTCCACATCACCGATAATGAGCGAACATAGCCGGAATGAAACGGTGAGGTTGGAAGCGGTGAAGTATCAACACAATAACTTTTAAATTCTTTTAGAAGAAGACAAGTGTTGCTTTCAGTTTAATATGAAGTTTTAGGGCACCACGGTAAGCTGGTGTGCCTTAAATTTTTAAGCTCTGTAAATCGAGAGCCACGGTAAGGATTAGGGTTATGATTACGGATTCAATTTGCAGCTTGGAATTCAAGCCCTGGGGTTTGGGACCCACGCACAGGCATACAAACATCTGCGGGGGCTGGACACATAGAGCGGGCAGACCTACGTACTCACTTCTTCAGGGAATTGGTGATGAGCAGGTGTACGTCAGTGCGCTCATCCAGCAGCAGCATCGCGCCGAGGTAGCCGATGCGCTTGTCTGTGAAGCGCGGTGACGCGATCAACTTCAGACACTCCAGCTGAAAAAACAATATGTTTATTACTCACTTAGTGAGAGAGAGAAAGGGAAGGAGGAAGGAAGCGAGGGAGAATGAGAGTGAGAGGGGGAGAGAGAGGGGGAGAGAGAGGGAGAGAGAGTAAACATGTGAGATCAAGACTGAGACAGAGAGACAGAAAGATGAGATGAGGAAGCAGGGGATAGAGAGGAAGGAGAGGGAGCAGAAAAGAGTGATCTAGAAGTGAAGGAAGAGCAACATGAGAGTAAACAAGAGAGAGAGAGAGAGAGAGAGAGAGAGAGAGAGAGAGAGAGAAAGAGAGAGAGAGAAAAAAAGAAAAGAAGACAGAGGTGAACGCGCGGATGATCGTAGTATTCCGTTTATATAG